TGCTAGGAAAAATTCAAACAAACTTTTTAAACATAAAAAATACTTAATTTTTAGACTTGAAAGTCAGTTTTGTTGTGCTATTAAATACACTGTAAGTCAGGTTTTCCTTCAGTTTGTTAATAGTTTCAAAATTAAAATAGATTTATATATGCCATTTCTTATACTTACCTTTTGAGGTCTGGGACTGGAAGAGTGGGAAAATGACAAAACAAACAAAAAAAACTAACAAATTCAATAATTATTTTTGTTGTTGTTGTTAATCCTCACCCAAGGATGTTTTTCCATTGATTTTTAGAGAGTGGGAGAAGAGAGAGAAACATTGATGTGAGAAAGACACATGGATTGGTTGCCAGAGCTTGCAACTAAGGTAGATGCCCTTGACTAAAATTGAGACTGGAACCCTTAAGTCTACAGGCCAAAGCTCTATTCACTGAGCCAAGCCAGCCAGGGCTTAAAGAATTCCTTTTTTTAAAAACACTCCTTTGACAATAGATTGCTCCCCTGAAACTTATTTTAAAACTAGAGGCCTGATGCACAAAGATTCGTGCAAGAATGGGCCTTCCTTGCCCTGGCTGCCAGCACGGCCTTTGCTCTGAATGGAGATGCCTTTCAGTTCCAGTCCAGAGCTGCCTTTTCATGCTGCCCAGAGGCCCAGAGTGGCGCGGAATGCCTGCGTAATCACCATGGTGACACAAGCGTCTTGCCCTGCCCCCAGCCACTCAGTGCCTGTCTATGCAAATTAACCCACCATCTTTGTTGGCATAATTTGCATTCTAACTCCTGATTGGCTGGTAAGCATTGTGAAGGTATGGTCAATTAGCATGTTAATATTTTATTAGGTAAATGATCTCATTTTTGAAATGACTTAATTTTTGAAGTATATCTACTCAAGTTCTTCCCATGATAGTATCCCTCATTATCACTTATAGTTCCCAAAACCAGTAGGATTTCTATTATAGATTTTCATGGTGATAAGGCTGCTTTGAATAATTATTTATTTTTCAAGGATTTCGCATTCTACACAGCTGGCCTGGCTCAGCATTTGAGTGTTGACCAATGAACCAGGAGGTCACAGTTCGACTCCTTGTCAGGCAGAGCAGATGGCAGGGTTGGGAGCTTGATCCTGTTTGGGGCGTGCAGAAGGCAGCTGATCAAAAACTGTCTCATCGCTGATGTCTCTATCTCTCTTTACCTTTCTGAAATCAATTAAAAATATATTTAAAAAAAAAAGAAAAACATTCACAGTCATACATTCTTATTTATGGCACCTTCTTCCCAAAGTGCTAATAAGATTGGATCCAACACTCAAAGTAAACCAGTAATAGTAAGTTTTGCCAATGTATTCTTCTAATTAGTTCATTTGTACTATTTGGTAACCTTTTCACTTAATCATGAACAACTTCTATCTCATTAATATAACTACATTGTATTGTTTGAATAGTACCACTTATCACAATATATTATATTTTGTTCTCTAGCCTGTTCTGTCTTTTATTCCAGGAACTTATTCCATGTGGTTTGAGCAGACCTGACCATCCCCACCACTAGGGAGGCGTGATTTAGACCAAAATACTCCATTTATACTCTGCCCTAACCTGCTCAACCATGGTGACTGGTTCAGGAATGGACATATTCTAGAAAAAAGCCAATAGAACCTTCCCTGAGACCTCTTTGCCAGAATTATTCAGAAAGTATGCCATTCAATGTTATTTAATCAGCTTTTAATTGTTAGACTTAAAATAACTCTTCCAATCTTAGTATTATAAACTTTACTAGAGGTCCGGTGCATGAAATTCCTGTGTGTGGGGGGGTTGTCCCTCAGACCATCCTGCACCCTCTCCAATCTGGGACCCCTCAAGGGCAGTTGGACATCTCTCTCACAATCCAGGACTGCTGGCTCCCAACTGCTCACCTGCTTGCCTTCCTGATTGCCCCTAACCGCTTCTGCCTGTCAGCCTGATCACCCTGTAACCACTCCCATACCAGCCTGATTGATGTCTGCTTCCCTGCCAGCCTGTTTGTTCCCAACTTCCCTCCTCTGCCGACCTGGTCACCCCTAACTGCCCTCCCCTGCTGACCATCTTGTGTCCACATGGGGGCAGGATCTTTGACTACAAGGGGGCAGCCATATTGTGTATTGGAGTGATGGTCAATCTGCATATTACTCTTTTATTAGACATGATAATAAACACACAGACTTCTTAAAAGAGTGCATTTATTAACTGTTTTTACAATATTAGAAAAGGGAAATAATTATTCACTTAATGTGCTAAAATCCTAAAAATATATTATGGCTATTCTATACTCTTTGTGATTTATAGTTTTTCATATAACAGAAAATAATCAACTATACCACTTGTCAGTATAAAACTAGTACCTGAACTTTGGGACCTAATATTTAGTCTGATGTTTTGAAGTTCTGGCTATCTTAGTTAACCTGCTTTTTCTTCATTTTGTTTCTTAAAATTTTTGTTCATATTGTGAATACATTTTAAAGGTTAATATGTATTAATAAATGAGTTGCAATTAATGATAAAGGTATTATTATGTTCCTCAGGTGTGTTAAGTCAGAGAACAAGGTTAAGAACTAGGTATATAAACTGTTCATACCATCAGGAGGAATAATGCCAGACTATTAAAGTCAGGAAATAGCACACATATTATTGGGAGGCAAAGAGATAGAAAAATGCTTGTATCAAGACTAGTTCACTTGAATAAATAAGGAAAAACTTTACAAAAGGTTGGGGCAAGATCATGAGGTACAAGCGAAAAAATTTGAATTTCATACAATAAAAAGCAGTGTTTTAGGAAGATTAAATCAATGTGATATACTGTAGCAGATGATGAAACAATTACAGGCAAAGAATTCCTCAGCTAAAATGCTGCAAAATAAGAACAAGCAAGAAATAATGAAGTACTTAACTATGGCAGCAATTCTAAGAATGATGTCAGACAATGTTTGGGTAAATGACAAACATGAACAAGTTCAGTGTGTTCCTTGGAGCCATTAGCTTTGACTAAACTAGTCAAGTGGAAAACAATTTCAGTCATCAAAACACAATTTGCAAAAACCTGACCATTACATATATATATATATTAACCAACCAAATACTTTTTATACTCTAAATTAGGGGTGTCGAACTCAATCAGAGAAGGGGCCAAAATCTAAAATCCAGCCTAAATCGCGGGCCGAATGGTTTACTGAACAGTCATAAACTGTCATTGTGATGGAAACGCAGCGGAGTGCAGTGATGACAGCGCGGTGCGGGCCACATTGCAAGGCCTGGCGGGACGGATTTGGCCCGCGGGCCTTGTGTTTGACACATGTGCTCTAAATGATCTCAAATGGAGGTTATTAACCTTAAGTCTGATTCAGAAAACTTTTACGTTATATTTACAAAAGTCAAACAGGCTTAGAGGAAACCAGCTGAATGAAAAATTAAATCTGTAGATTAAGTTAAAAGCTTAGTCATAACATTTGCCCCCTATAAAGTCTTTGATCCTATGAACTACGATTCTCCCTCTTGTATAATTGATCACAGCCTCCCAGATGTCCTTGCTATATCAGAAATGTCTTTGTATTATAGTTGCTATGTCATCTACCAGAAAGCCTTTTCTCCCAGATATCTAATGATGTGCTCCCTTATGGTTTGTCTTTGTTCAAATGTCATCTGTGTGAAGCATATTCTCATTATACTATTTAAAAATATGCCTCTCCTGCCTTCCAAACACCTGTATGCCAGCCTTCCCACAGCCCTTGATTTATTTTCCCCATAGAATTTATCACCATCTGACATGCCACTATGGTACCTATTAATTTCATCTATTCTGTTACCCACGTCTTTCCCAAGATTGTAAGCTCCATGAAGGTTGGAATTTGTTTTGTTCAGTGCTGATCCTCAGTACCTATATAACATAAGTAAATTTGTACCTTACTTTCTACATATAAATGTTGCAAATCTATTTTTAAAAAAATATTTTTAATTGATTTTTTCCAGAGAGAAAGGGAAAGGGATAGAGAGTTAGAAACATCAATGGGAGAGAAACATGATCAGCTTCCTCCCGCACACCCCCTGGAGATGTGTCTGCAACCAAGGTACATGCCCCTGACCAGAATTGAATCTGAGACCCTTCAGTCTCAGGCTAACGCTCTATCCACTGAGCCAAACCAGTTAAGGGCTCAAATTTATTTTGAATGTTCCTTGTCCAACATTAGCATTTTAACACTGCCAGAAAACACAAACAAATATGAAAATCTATATAGACTATATTAAAATTTACAAATTCTTTTAAGAAGTGATGTACGTAAACTTTCTCGATGTATACTACTAGACAACAAATATTCTACCTTCATTGCATCAGGCTAAAATATTTTAAACTGTTCCTATGGAAACAAAAAAAGTTACTTTATAATTAAGTATTTATCACCGATCAGTCCAGACAAAAAAGTTTTAGTAGTATATAAGAACTTATATTCTTGAAATGTTACTTCCATATATAAAAGCATTCCCAAAGATTATAAAATAATGAGATACAGAAGGAAACAATCTCTGAGATGATTTAAAATTTCAACCACTTTCTAAAGATATTCTTTAATAGAATAATCCATACTAAGTGGTTAAGTCATAAAATAAAGATATGTAGAATACCTTTAATAAAAAGTTAATTAAATTGAGGAACATTTAGTATAAAAGTGGCTTAAAAATTTTTTTTCCTCAACACAATTTCTCAAACAAAATCTAATTCTATAGCGTAAGATAAAGTAATGACAAAATACTATAGGCAGTTTACATTTTTTTTCAAAACATAAAAAATCCAATCATAAGAAAATAGTAACTATCAGATTACTCAAAATCCCAGCAAATTAAGAGGAGCTGTGTTCATTAATATACTAAGTTAATTACTCATGTTGCATGTGTTAACAATCAAGAAATAGACCCAAATAGAAATTATGAATGAATTTAATTTCAGTATAATTAAGACAAAAAACAGCAACTAATTTGTCACCTTGCACAGAAATTTAACAGAAGAGGTTTAAACTTATTTATTTGCCAACATTTTCTTCATAGCATAGATATAGCCTAAAAAAAAAAAAAAAAAAAAAAAGACATCAGAAATTCATGATTTATATTTTATAAATAATCTTGGTAATAACATAAACTCTTAAATTTCTGGTAGAGGAATTAATTCTTCATTAAAGGGACTCAAGTTAAACAGAAACTGTTTTATTTTAAAGAGTTAAGAAAATAAGATTTTTTTTAAAAGCTGGAAATGCACTGATGATGGTCTCTTATTTATTTTCCCAGATATACAAAGTAATATGTCTAAACACTTACTAGAATCAAATCTATCTCAAAAGTTTAGGACATTCTCTCCCTTTTATTAATACTCAATGAGAAACAACACTTAGAATAAAACTTTTCCATAAATAAGGGATAGTAATATCCACCTGCAAAAGGAAAAAAAAATTGAATTAGAATGTCAACTTCTAAATACATATATATTACTTTAGAGATCACAGTTTATAATTATGGAAGTATAATCTTACTAATCCAATTATGCCTAAGATGGGCTCATATCAGTAATAATGCTCAAAACACCTATAATTCTGTAACAACCAAAGAATATATAAATGAAGACAATCAACTTAAATATGAAATTTAGTCTATGGCCAAATTTTCAAATCTATCATATATCAACATGTGTTATCTTAAAAGATTTGAATCTGAATATAGGATATAAACTAAATTGAATAAAATATTCTTCTTGACTCCTGAATATTTGCCTGCAGTACTCTGAGTTAGCATAAAACTCAATCTATACTCCAAATAACAGATTTAAGATGACCAAAACTGGAATTATTTGGCATTAATTAAAAAAAAAAAAACCTGAATAAAAAAAGATTTGGATTTTTTTTTCCCCGAAGAAGATGGGAAAAATGAAAAAGATATACACCTATATGTAGCTATTTCTTCCTTGCAAAATCAATAGTCAAATTAAGATTAACATTTTATTTTACTATTTGTTCTTTGTGTTTCAAAATTACACAAAAATGGAATTCTATTAACTTTTACAAAAAACTTCCAGTCCTGTTGAGTTACCTGTTTCATCAGGTACTGAGAGGCTATTTCCTCTTCTATAATAAAAGACTGGAAAGGAACTGCATAGCTACAGTAAGTTTCAGTGCAATATTGTCTTATTCTCCCAATATTTCAAATTAAAAAAAATCTACTTTCAGGATTAAAACAACAAAGTTTTCTGTTAGCTACAGTAGCTCCGAAGGACCTTCTTCACACCTGCAGCACCTAGATATAAATATTCACCTAGTAAATGTAAAATCCAAATTTTCTCTGTCATTTAGGAGGCAGATTAGACTAACTATAATTTTGTACCATTTGACTTCAAATTCATTTAAAAAAACAAAAAGAAAGCAAAAAGAGAAATCTAACTCCTGGGGTGTTCTGGAAAATATTAGACAAACTATGTAATTCATTCAGTAGCTATTTCTAAGCAACTATGTGTTAGACGCTGGAATATTTTTAGTGAAACCAAAAACTATCATATATTTGTATAGCCTTTCATAAAATGGTTGAAATGAAGTAAAGGAAACAGGTTAAGAGCTTGATGAACGATTTATGAAAGCACCAGGCAATATTATTTCAATGTGGCAGGTGGTATTTAATTCTAACAATATGGTGTATTGCTTCCTTATTTTGAGACAAAAAATTGCTGGAAAAAAGTGAGGCTGTTCTAAAAAAAATGTCTTATATAGTATTTCTTTACCTTTAAATTAGAATTTAAGCAAAATATACTTGAATATAATTCCTTTAATTACATCTAATATACTTTAAGGGGTTCCAAAATTAACAATTAAAATTGGAAATTTTCATTAAGAACTTCTTTTATTTTGTATATTTTCTGCTTGATTATATAGAAAAGGGTAAGATATTCCTGGCAGGAAATAAAACCAGAAGTATGGCACACTTACAAACACACTTGTCTGATCCTGAATATCAACTTTTAGTTGAATGACTTAATAAAACTCCCAATAGAGTGGACTGACTGTGTTCGGGGGAAGGGAGGGAGGAAGAGACTGAACATAAACTGTGCACCTATGGATGAGGACAATGGGGGGTGGAGAGGGGGCGGAGAGTGGGGTGGGAACCTGGTGGAAGGGGGAAGAAATGAGGAACCTTTGTAATAATATGAACAATAAAGATTGATTAAAAAAAAATAATAAAATAAACTCCCAATAAATAAAAAATAAAAGGTAAAAAAAAAATTCCTTTAAATTTTAACTAAAATTTATGTTTGTATCTATGAAATTAATTTTTGATTTTACTATGAAGTTAAATTTTTGAATATAAAAAGCAAACAAGGCCTTTATATCTATATTTAGATATAGATATGTAAATACATACACATTATATAGTTTGCTTTTTGTTAATCCTCAGACGAGGATATTTTTTTCATTGCTTTTTCAGAGAGAGACTAGAAGGGAGGGAGGGAGAGAGAAAGAGAGAAAAAACATCAAGGTGAGATAAGACACATTGACTGGTTGCCTCTTGCAAGTCCTGACCGAGGGCCAGGAGCCAACTGTATCCCAGGGTAAGTGCCCTTGACTGGGTATTGAAACTTCATTGAAATGGCCGACACTCTAACCTAGGGGTGTCGAACTCAATCAGAGAAGGGGCCAAAATCTAAAATCCAGCCTAAATCGCGGGCTGAATGGTTTACTGAACAGTCATAAACTGTCATTGTGATGGAAACACAGCGGAGTGCAGTGATGACAGCGCGGTGCGGGCCACATTGCAAGGCCTGGTGGGACGGATTTGGCCCGTGGGCCTTGTGTTTGACACATGTGCAACCACTGAGAACACTGGCCAGGGCAAGATGTTTGTTTTGACTTGTTAAAAACAAAAATCTTCCGCTATTAAAAAATAACATTTTAATAAGAACAGGAAAAAATATGAGAACATAAAAGTCAGAATAGCATTAAGATTCTAATCTGCCATATATAGCAAATTACTTAATTTGAGTTGTTTCCTAAATTATCCGAGGAATAGGTTGATCATCTGTAAGATTTTTCCTACCTTGAAAATTATGATTAAGTGCATTTGAGACCAGAATTTCAGGAATTTAATTCATATTTCATTATTTTCCCCTTCCCTTATAAGGAAATATTTAGAAACATTATTAAATAGTCGTCTAAGTTCTTTCCAAAATGTATATGCTATAATGGCCATTTAACTGTGAGATACGTATTTTTCAAGTAATTTCATTTTACTAGAGAAACAAAGGGAAAATGAATATTTGTTTAATCATAAGTAAAAATATGTATATTTATCCTGAATACAAATGTGCATTAAGAAATATTTATTTGATGCATAAGCTCTTTCAATAAACTCTTGATGGCATTCAACACATGAAATTGCAATTGTACATACATAATACATCTGAAAAGTTAGTATTTTTATAGATTATAAACTTAGAAACATAAGATTAATAACACTGAAAATACACTATCAATAAAACAGAAAGTTCATTAGTAATATTAATACATATTAAAATATGACTGTAGAATATGGTCAACCTTACTTCAGCAGCACAGTTAATACTGGAGATAATTTAGAATCTTAACGCCAATATTTACGTGCTGCTAAGGCACTGTTGACATCACTATCATGAGTTATGAAGAGTTAAAAAAGAAATACATTTTCTTCAGAAGATCAGATCCTTGTATTTTTGAGGCAGCACAATATGGCCTGCACCTTTTCAAAACCCACAAACCATTATGTGCTGCTACTTTACTCCAAGGTTTTATTTTTTTTAAATTCACATTAGCACCTAAAGATACAAAAATATATTTTTCTTTTAGAGAAAAAAAGAGAATAAAACTATTATAAAAAATCTATGTTTAAAGATTGCATAATTAGTTTCTTAGAAGCTTTTAAGTAGCATAATAATTTCTACATAAAAAATTTAAGGAAAGCCAACTATGTGCCTAGCACTTTCTATAGTTAGAAACACAAAAATGCATAATGTGAGGAAAAGCATTTTTCCTATGTCACCTTAAGTTAATACAGTTAAATATTTAATCAAATTTTTGAATGTATTAAGTAAAGTTATTTTTTTTTATAAAAAATAAATAAAATTTGGTCTTTACCTTGGTAACAGCATAAATTATAAACAGCATTTCATTCCTTGAAGTATACTTTTCGTAAGACATCTTCATTAAGTAGGTAAGACTTCATATCAAGAGAAAAATAAAAAATGACATGCAGGAGCTCAGGTTCAATAAACTAAAGCTAGCAACATGAAGTCACATGAAATATTTAATACTAAGTAAAAAGACCCCAAGCAAATCAATTTTCTTTAATAATTTATGTTTAAAAACACAAATATTTTACTCTCTACATTATCTCTCTACTAAAATAGTCTGTCCAAGCTGGATATCATTTTATATAAGAAGTAATTCTAGAACAGTGTTTTTCAACCTTTTTTGGGCAAAGGCACACTTGTTTCATGAAAAAAATCACGAGGCACACCACCATTAGAAAATGTTAAAAAATTTAACTCTGTGCCTATATTGACTATATATAAAGTAATTCTCTTGAATAGGAATCAAATAAACACAAAGAAAGTATTTTATAATTACTTTATTATGAAATATTAAGTAAACAAAATAGTGAAAAATTATAAAATTCTTGTCTGCACCTACGGCACACCAGGCAACATCTCGTGGCACACTAGTGTGCCGCGGAACAGCGGTTGAAAAACGCTGTTCTAGAATATGAAGCCTTGGAAAGATAAGTTAACTTTGTACCCAGAGATGGGAAATAAAAACCGGAATCCTGTGGCTCTTTATCTTTCTACCCCTTACCTGTCTTCACTCTTCACCAGGCAAGAAAATATTCTTCTAAACATTTCTACTTATTCAACTTTGGGAATTAAATTACATATTTCTCTCACAGGGGTGGGAGAAATAGTTTCTCTTTTCTGCCAAGGGCTATTTATACATTTATAACATCATTATTGGGCTACAAAAAATTGTCAACTTAAAAATTAGCCTGGTAGCCGGCACCGGTCTGGCTCAGTGGATAGAGCGTCAGCCTGCGGACTGAAAGGTCCCGGGTTCGATTCTGGTCAAGGGCATGTACCTTGGTTGCGGGTACATCCCCAGTAGGGGGTGTGCGAGAGGCAGCTGGTCAATGATTCTCTCTCATCGATGTTTCTAACTCTCTATCCCTCTCTCTTCCTCTCTGTGAAAAATCAATAAAATATATATATAAATATATAAATTAGCCTGGTATATTTTGTCAAACATATAATTAACTCACCCCTAATGCTTTGACAAGGCCAGATCAAATGATTTCTATAGCCTATGGACTGGACGTTCCCTAACCCTCTTCTAAAAGATAAAACTACCAGGACTCTAACTCAAATCTTGATAACCTTTTTTACCCCCTTTTTCTCACCATTAAAATAGCTTTGCTAAAGCTACAATACTTTTACAGAATAAGATGATGTGCACTGAAATTTGTCCACTTCTCCTAATATCTAATTGTTTAGAAAAAGCACAACTGTCATATAGTTCACATTAATTTTCTTGTGAATATTTTCACTATTATTGAAAAACATGTAATTAATTTCCTATCTGAGCAACCTGTTTTTTCACGTTATTCTACTCTATTAGTGTCTTACTTCTCCACACAATTTTTAATATGTAGCCAAAATAAATCTGTTTGCAGTAACATGAAAATATATATACTTATTTTTATTTATCGATTACACTAAGAAACTAACCTTCAGGTTACCCTCTCCCCTCAAACCCACTTTCCAGACAAAAATCACACCCTTTCAGATAAAAATGTAAGCATGAGCCAGGACCAGTTTGGCTCAGAGGATAGAGCGTTGGCTTGGGGACTGAAGGGCCCCAGGTTCGATTCCGGTCAAGGGCATGTACGTTGGTTGCGGGCATATCCCCAGTAGGGGGTGTGCAAGAGGCAGCTGATTGATGACTCCCTCTCATCGATGTTTCTAACACTCTATCTCTCTCCCTTCTTCTCTGTAAAAATCAATAAAATATATATATTTTTAAAAATGTAATCATGACAATTTTTAAATGTACAACCTTATACATATATATTTTTTATTTAATACTTTCTTGAACACCTACTATGAGTTAGGCACTGTCCCAGTTGTTAAACTAATTGGTACACTAATATACCAATCCCTTCCAAAATTTTTATTTTTTATTTTATTATTTATTATTTATTTATTTATTTATTTATTTTTTCCTTCCAAAATTTTTAAAAACCCTTTGGAATTGAAACAAAAATCATGAAATAACTATTCAAGATTATATATTGTTCTTTGAGCCTGTTGCACAGTAGATGTAAACATTAAATAATTATCACAAAGTCAAATGAATGATTATTTCAAAATCAAGAAAAATGAGTCATTTCAATTCCAATATTTCCTTTTTGCTAAGTCTATTAGTATATATTTTAAACTAAGCCAAGTATACCATACTTGAAATATGAATACTATAAAATGCAATTAGTTTTTAAAACCTTTTAAAAATAATTCACATTAATATCATTTATTTTTCTAAAATGTAGTTAAATATATCTAACATAAATGTTTCCATTTTAAAGTTCTATGGCATTAAGACTATTCACATTGTCGTGCAATCATTGCCACCCTTTATACTCTAGAATCTTTTTATACACAGCAACTAAAACTATACCCACTAAATACTAACTACCTAGGGAGGGAGAAAGAGAAAGAGGAGGAGGGAAAGGGATGGAGGTAAGGATGAACTGAGGGAGGGGCAAGAGAGGGAGGGGAACATTAATTGGTTGTCTCCCTGACCAGGAATTGAACTGGAGACCCTTTGGTGCATGGGAGGATGATGTAACCAACTGAGCCACATTGGCCAAGGCAAAGATTATTGCTTTCTGTGACAATACGTATTGTAATTTTAACACCGATGTTTTAATAATCACCCTCATGAGGAGAATTTCCCCCCCTATTAAAAAAAATATATATATATATATATATATATATATATTTTTATTGGTTTTTTACAGAGAGGAAGAGAGAGGGATAGAGAATTAGAAACAACAATGAGAGAGAATCATTGATCAGCTGCCTCTTGCGCACCCCCTACTGGGGATGTGCCCACAACCAAGGTACATGCCCTTGACGGGAAACGAACCCGGGACCCTTCAGTCCGCAGGCCGATGCTCTATCCACTGAGCCAAACCGGTTTTGGCCCCCCTATTTTTTTTTAAATACGTATTTTATTGATTTTTTACAGAGAGGAAGAGAGAGGGATAGAGAGTTAGAGACATCAATGAGAGAAAAACATCAATCAGCTGCCTCTTGCACACCCCCTACTGGAGATGTGCCCGCAAGCAAGGTACATGCCTTTGACCGGAATCGAACTTGGGACTCTTGAATCCACAAGCTGATGCTCTATCCACTGAGCCAAAATGGTTTCAGCTTCCCCCTATTTTTATTTCTACTTTTAACTATCTGAGATAATTAAAAACAACTACTTTCTATTTAAAAGCATGATAAAAATATTTTCATAAAATACAGATATTCTTGATTTATTTTAATCAAATGTGAAAATTCTTTATTTAAATTATTAATAAAGAGAAAGATTCCAGTGGAGCAATTCCATGTAGATAGAAAAGGAGTATCTCTTTACGTGGCATAAAAATATTTCTGCTCCTTTGTTATTTAGCTATCCTTTATGTGTCACTATTTTAGATTTATCAAATATCTTAATTTTACTTTTAACCTGGCATCAATACATTTTATAATAGTAATTACTTTCTTCAAGTATGCTTTAAATTCTGCAGATAAACCTCTGGAACTGGCTATATATAACCCCTGGACTGCAGAATGACTATCCTTACTCAGACAGTGGAATACTACTTAAATAATGATATATAGGGTAGGACAAAAGTAGGTTTATAGTTGTGAGTATGCAAAACCGTTTACCCTTGTATGATTTATTAATTATTGTATTATTTTCCATATGAACTGTAAACCTACTTTTGCCCCACCCTGTATTATTACTATATTATTATTCTTTGTTAATCCTCACTGGTGATTTTTCCCCTTAATTTTTAGATAGTGGAAAGAAGGGAGGGAGGGAGTAGAGGAAGAGAAAGAGGGTTTACAGCGAGAGGGGGAGAGAGACACATCAACTGTTTGCCTCCCACAGGCAGAAGGCACTCCAACCTGGGCTGGGGATGAATCCTGCAAACCAGGTATATGCCATTGACTGGGAATCGAATGTTCAACCCTTTGGAGCATGGGGTCAACCCTCTAACCATCAAGCCATAATGTCCAGGGCCCTACCCTATATTATTATACTTGAAGAACATTTTAAATTAGCCACTCTTTAATATCTTTAAGCAAAGCCTAAATTATGGGGTCAAACCAAACAGCATGACAATTTCACTGAACATGTTCATCTTTTCATTATCCTAGTAAGAAATTGAGAGTTTTATGAAATGTTCAAATATATAAAACACACAGGTAACAGATTAAAATGCGTTTCACTTTTTTCCCCTACCTGTTTTGGATACAAGTGATTAAATACAAAAAAATATTAACTACAGAAGATACATTTAAAATTCAGTGTGGTGATGAGGCATGCAATGAAATAATATTTAGCTATAATCCAAAAAGCTTGTTTTATAATCCAAAAAACCCAGTTTTTGCATTTCAGTTGTATTGTTTCTATATGCCCTTGATTTTTTTTTTTCTGATGGAGAAATTAACGAACAAATGATTATTTGGAAACTATGAAGTGGATTTCAATTTAGACAATTCATCCCAGAAAAAATCAGGATATTTACATATAAGTCCCCAAACTATGATATCATGTTATTAGATTTCCTACTAATAGTTTCATTATATACAAAATTATACTACTTAGAAGCTAAACATTCGTATTTTGGGGGTATGAAATTTTTGATGATTTTACTCTAGATCTGAATTAAAAATATAACATGATGTCAGAAATACAATACATAAAAAGTTGATAAGAACTAATAAATATACCCAAACCTTGGTTCTTAAACATCTCCCATCTCAAAGAATTTAGTTCTCAACCAAGTTGTTTATGGGGGAAATGTCTCAGTTGTTGAAACTTTGATTCTCGACTCCACAATCCTTTCATGGTGATACTACATAGTCTCTCAGGTGACAAAGGAGAGAATGCATGAGCATAAGTCAGTTTATTGCTAAACCTTGTGTTGTAAACATATCAGGAAAATGAGAACAAGGCAAAATTTAATAGCACAGGTCTTAATTTAAATATGAAATAAACATACAAATTAATGAACTCTAGTATATTAGGAATTTCATGTTCTAAGCATAAATAAAATAGGTAACGTCAATAGATTACTCAATGCAGTCTTGCCCTTTGTCACTAATTTATCTGAAATATTTGAGTCTTCAAAGTTATTTCCATGTAAAAACAGGAATAAATTGAATGCAGAATTGAAATAAATATATGTCCAGAAGTAAGCAATCACACTTTTTGCCTAGGCTGTCAGTTTTACTTTTCCTGATATGTTCAATATATGAATAAGAAGAGGCATACACATAATCATACAGAATCACTGAAAATAGTCACTATGCACTATTTTCCTGGGTATCGTTTAATTGGAAACATTACCATTTTAGTACCTTAAAGGGAACTCCAGGCATATTACCTAGAACAAACAACAGAAAAAATTCCAACTATAAAATATTGCAAATGACCTACGTTTAAAAAATACTACAGAGTATCCAAGAAAAACTGCTTAGAAATTTATAAAGGAGATGAAATGAAGTTAACAATGTGATGTTATGTGTGCTTAAAAATTTCTTAAAAGTTAAATGATTCCCAAAAGTTAAAAATTTGTTAAAAGTTAAATGATATTCTTCTTTTTAAGGAGTATAGTAAGTGCAAAACAAATTGAAAAGTCTTTTTCTGAGACTTTAGTTGAAGAAAAGCTGAGCTGGCTTCCAAGGGACCAATTAAAAAACCCAAGCCTGGATTATATAGGATTCTTTAGAGATTTGCAAATGTTTCCATTCTAGTTTTCCAGAGAAAAAATATAAAAGTGACCTGTGACATTTTGCTACTACTCTTCAAACTGGCTCATTATTAAAGGTTTTAATATTTAATTGATTAGTACCTTAAAAACTACTTATCAAATTCAGTGGATGACCACCTATGATCATAATAAGGTCACTCTTCAACACACAGACATTATTTATTGGGTCACTAATGCAATGGTATGAGATAATGTAAGTAAAGCATCTCAAGTATTAATTTTCGTTTGAACAGGGCCATCCCTAAACATCAAGAACAGAAACAGCTGCACATTACTTTCATTTAGAGATATAGAATTAGCTCAAGAAATATATGGAAATTAATCTTTTTGGTAGAGAATCTCAAATACTTTTAGGGAAATAAGTATTTCCTGGATTTGAGAGTTTTTCTACCGGAATATTACTAATTTTAGCTAATGTGTTAGAATTATTCCCTTAGAATTTACTTGTTTCTCAAAAGTTAAATGAATCAGGGTAAAAATCTTCCATATTCTAAGAAAAGAGGTGTGCATGTGCATATATAAAAGGAAAAGGGATTGTCTTCCTGTTTTTCCCACCTCCTGAAGTTTAACAACTATATCTTAAGCACTTCACAAAGAAGTATGAAGTGTAATCTAGGGAAATATAAAAATAATAATAAAAAAACAATTTCTTAAATGGAGAGAATACTTGCAATTTATAAAACCATAAAATAACTGTGAAGGAACCTGAATAATGATAAGAAAAGACCATACTTACGATACTTTCCCAAATAGAAAAATTATCTACAGCAATGGCATTATTCTTGCTCTAGAATGGATTAAATAAACACCAAACTGCCCAGCCAGTGTGGCTCAGTGGTTGACCATTGACTCATGAACCAGGAGGTCACAGTTCAATTCTTGGACAGGGCACATGCCTGGGATGTGGACTCGATCCCCAATAGGGGTCGTGTAGGACAGTGTTTTTCAACCTTTTTTGGGCAAAGGCACACTTGTTTCATGAAAAAAATCACGAGGCACACCACCATTAGAAAATGTTAAAAAATTTAACTCTGTGCCTATATTGACTATATATAAAGTAATTCTCTTGAATAGGAATCAAATAAACACAAAGAAAGTATTTTATAATTACTTTATTATGAAATATTAAGTAAACAAAATAGTGAAAAATTATAAAATTCTTGTCTTGTCTGCACCTACGGCACACCAGGCAACATCTCGCGGCACACTAGTGTGCCGCGGCACAGCGGTTGAAAAACGCTGATGTAGGAGGCAGCCAATTGATGATTCTCTCTTATCACTGATATTTCTCTCTCTCTCTCTCTTCCTCTCTCTAAAATAAAAATGTATTTAAATAAAAACATATTTAAAAAACAACAACACAAGAAAAACACCAACCTTCAATGTGTAAGAGGATGTTAATAAGTTATCATTCTAGGATGATAAAAAAATCAGAAATAAAGCAAAAAATGACATCAAACTAACTTTTTTATAGCAATGGTAGGGGGCTGAGTTAATACTTACAAGGTAAGAAATGATGAACTAAGTACGAGGCTGTTTTATTATGGTCTTCATTTTATCGTTATAAACCTAGAAAAAAATAAAAGTGAAGACTTTAAAAATTTGTTCACATTATATTGTGTTATAAAATTAGCAACCGAGGTTGTCAGTTTTCTGATCCCTACTAAGCATAGAACAATCACAGATTATAAAATCCACCAACATTTATATATTTTAGTCCAAAGTTTGTTTGATTTTGGTTGTTGTTAATACTCACAAAAAGATATCTTTCTCATTGACTTTTAGAGAGAGAAGGAAAGAAGGGGGAAGAGAAACATCATGTGAGAGGGATATAGAGATTGGTTGCCTCCTACAGGTGCCCCTATCTGGGTGGGGATGGAACCCGGAACTCCAGGCACCTGCTCTCGGCTGGGAATGAAATCCAGCAACTCTACAGTGTGTTGGGGAGGGGACAAGTACACACCTGACTCACTAACCACTCAGCATACCAGCCAGGGCTTATTAGTTTTTAAAACTCACTTTTCTATAACTAATACCATCTTGAAGTTTAAAAATCAAATACGTGGAAGAGAATCAAGATGGTGGCATAGGTATAAACACCTATACTTGTTGCATCTCACAACCACATCAAAATTACAACTAAAAGGCAGAACAATTACCACCCAGAACTGGGAAAGCTGGCTGAGTGGAAGTTCCACAACTAGAGAGGTGAAGAAAGCACATTGAGCCTGGGAAGAGGCACGGAGGCGCAGAGAGTGCTGGCACCTGGATGTGCTGCTCTTTTACCTGGGAGGAAGATACAAGCTCGGGCTTGCTCTGAACTCTAGTTCTGGGCGAGACTATGGGGGACCCAGACACCTAGGGGGAGAAAATGGATTGTCTGGCATCAGGACAGGAACTTGAGGGCAGCTTTCCCTGAGAGGCTCACAGCGATTATTATTCCTGCACAGGGGGAGGGCGCGGGGGGGGGGGGGGGGTAGGGAGGGGGGCCTGTGGCGTGCGCATGTGGCGCAAGGCAGGGGACACGGAGACATGGGGACCTCTCTTGTGCAGGGCTGACTGGAAGCCATTGCTGTTTGCTCCACCTTGATGATTCCCAGAGACCCCACCCCACCCAATTAACAACCCCTCTCAAGCTGTGCTCATCAGTTTTTTTTCATATGAATGGCCTGTCCTTTCTCCACCTAAAACCTGTAAAACTGCAGCTGGGTGAGAGAGCCCAGAGCTTCCAAAAAAAAGGCCCAAGGCCTGGCAACAGCAGCCTATCTTGCTTCACAGCTGGGCCTCGTCTGGGCACTTACAAACCCCATACAAAGAGGAGGAATCTGCAGATGTTTCTGTAGCTCCTGCTGGGTGGCCCCAGACAGAGGCTGACCTTGCACCTCCTTTGAGATCCAAGAGCCAGTGTACCCAGTGGTCAGAGTGAGACCATACTGGATTACAACTTTTCACATCCATAAGAGACTCACTCAAGGGACAGACTCAGTAAGCACCAAAGCCCCACTGAAGCAAGTCCTGCCCCATAAGGGTGTCTCCTGCACAACAGATCTTCCAGTGTAGACAAAGCTGGTCATCACAGCCAATTGGCCTGGAGGTCAACTCCTCCCAGTGATACCAACAGCAATCAAGGGTAACTACAACAAGACTGTGCAAACAGCCCACAAAGGGGTGCACCAAGAGTGTCTACCTCAGGTGACTGGGGAGGTTGAGCCACTGGGCCCTATAAGACACCTACCACACCAGGCCACTCTATCAACTCAAGGAGACTTAGCAGCTACCCAATACATAGAAACAAACACAGGGAAGCAGCCAAAATGCGGAGACAATGAAACAAGTCACAAATAAAAGAAATGGATGAAAGCAAAATACTGGATATAGAGTTCAAAACCATGATTATAAGGTTACTCAAGAATCTTCTAGAAACCTCCAAGAAATTTAGTGAGATTCTCAAAGATATGAAAAAAGGACCCATCAGAAATTAAGCATACACTGACTGAAATAAAGAATAATATACAGAGATCCAACAGCAGACTAGAGGAATGCAAGAATCAAGTCAAGTTTTGAAATACAAAGAGTCAAAAAAAATCCAACCAGAAAAGCACAAAGAAAAAAGAATAAAAAAATACGAAGATAGTATAAGGAGCTTCTGGAGCAACTACAAATGTACTAATATCTGAATTATGGGGGTGCCAGAAGAAGAGAAAGAGCAAGATACTGAAAACCTATTTGAAAAAATAATTACAGAAAAATTCCCGTACCTGGTGAAAGACTTACAAGTTCAGGAAGCGCAGAGAACCCCAAACAAGAGGAATCCAAAGAGGACCACACCAAGATACAGCATAATTAAAATGCCAAGGATAAAAGACAAAGAGAGAATCTTAAAAGCAGCAGGAGAAAAACAGTTACCTACCAGGGAGTACCCATACAACTGTCAGCTGATTTCTCAGCAGAAACTATGCAGGCCAGAAGGGAGTGGCAAGAAATATTCAAAGTGATGAACAGCAAGAATCTACAACCAAAATTACTGTACCCACAAAGCTATCATTTAGAATTGAAGGTCAGATAAAGAGCTTCCCAGATAAGAAAAACCTAAAAGAGTTCATCACAACCAAACCAGTATTATATGAAATGCTGAATGGTATTCTCTAAGAAAAGAAAGACGAAGAAAAAGGTAAGGGTAAAAAAAATTATGAACAAAGTGACAACAAATATATATCTATCAACAAGTGAACCTAAAAATCAAATGAATAAAAAACCTGATGAACAGAACAGACTGGTGAGTGTAATAGAATCGGGGCATGGAAAGGAAGCAGACTGACAGTTCTCAGGGGGAAGGGTTGTGGGGTGTGTGGGAAGAGATTGGACAAAGAGCTTCCACATATGGACGAGGTCAGTGGTTGGGGGGAGGCCTGGAGTGGGGTGGGAACCAGGTGGAGGGGAGTTAAGGTGGCGGGGGAGAGGAACATCTATAATCTGAATAAAGATTTTTAAAAAATCATAAAAACAAATAAGTAAAAGTCAAATATGTACGTGTAATTTAAACTCATTCTTCAATGTCTAACTTGAAGCACACTAAGTTTCTAGAGAACATCATAATTACAGATACCGTATTTTCCGGCGTATAAGACATTTGAAACAAAAAAAAGTCAACTGAAAATCGGGGGCAAAAGACCAAAATTACACAAAAATTACCTGCAGATCTTGACGGCAAAGTAAGTCTTTTCTTTGAAGTGGGGGTTAGTTTTATACAGTGAATATAGGCCTAAACCTATGTTTTAACTGTAAAATTAGGGGGTCGTCTTATACGCCGGAAAAGATCATACCATAAGATTGACCAACCTCTCTCACACACATACATACACATACATATATGCTACTGCAAAAACTAAAAACCACCGTGCCCAATTTCAATAATTCTATTATAAATACAAAGCTTAAGGTAGAGTTTAAATATGTATAAATAAATCATTGAAAATCCTATATAATAAAAGTGCAATATGCAAATTGTCCTCTGGACTGGAGTTTTTCAAGGAGTTCGACCAGGTGCTGGGCCGGCCATGGGGAAGGGAGTTAGGCCCTGGCCAGCAGTGGACAGCCACTAGGGACCCTACCAGTACACACATTTCGTTCACTCGGCCTCTAGTAATGTTATAATCTATGGCCAAAACAAGAGAAAATATAGTTGTGAAATTGCCTGAACGCAGGAGTAAATGAAAGAGTAATGATAAAATTTATTTCCATGGTTGCCCTTTAGTTATTAAGAGTAGGAAGGATTAAAAGCCAGTATGCAAAAGAAAACATTACATCTTTAAAAATAAAAACATTGAAAAAAATTCTGGAAACTTAAAAGGTTTGACTTCTGTGGGACATATTATAAACTGTTCTTACATAACAGTTAAGCACTTACTACAAGTCATAGATCAATCAGAAAGAATAAACCCATCTATGCTTAGTGAAACATTCATTCCAATTGTACATCTTATTTTGAACATCTTCACACACACACACACACACACACACACACACACACGATAGCACTTTTGTTTCATTAATTTGAAAAACAATCAAAACCTGAACATTTTAAACCCAAAGAAAAACCAAGAGAACACCAAAATAAATCTCCACATCTTAGCCCTTGCTCTCCAATCCAGCTGTGTTTAATTCTAATATTCTGCCATGCTTACTTTAAATTTAAAATATACTTTTATTAATTTCAGAGAGGAAGGAAGAGGGAGAGATAGAAATATCAGTGATGAGAATCATCAATTGGCTGCCTCCTGCACATCCCACCCTGGGTACTGAGCCAGCAACCTGGGCATATGCCCGGACCGGGAATCGAACTGGTGACCTCTTGGTTCCTGGGTCGACACTCAACCGCTGAGCTACAACCGGCTGTGCTTGCTTAAAATTTTAAAGAAAGACTATATATATAGTTGAGTCCCATTCCCCCTCTCTCCTGATTATAATCCTGAATGTTTTTTATTTCCTATGCATGCTTTTATATGATTATTATAAATTCAAGTATTTAAAATAATATATATCATTAGAGGCCTGGTGCACAAGATTCATTCACTGGCGGGGGGAGGGAGGTTGTCTCCTCAGCCTGGCATGGACCCTCTTGCAGTCCAGGCCCCCTTGCTCCTTACGGGACATCTGCAGAGGCAGGTAGAGGTTCTGGCCACCACTGTTGTGCTCACCAGCATGAGCCCGGTTCTGGCTGAGCAGCGCTCCCATGGGAGTGCACTGACCACCAAGGGCAGCTCCTGTGTTGAGTGTCTGCCCCCTGATGCTCAGTGCATGTCATAGTGACTGGTCATTCCACCTTTCAGCCAATTTACATATTATGCTTTTAATATACAGGATTGTTTTCGAACTTTACATAAATGTTACCATACCATATATATTTTGTATAAAGTATTGTAGATCTTTGCAACTTATTATCATTAATCTATAACAATATACACAGCTTTCACTTAAATAACAATATAACAAAGAGTTCTTCATATGATTATGTCAAAATTTATCATTTTTTGTTACTTAACATTCAATTTGCTCTCAAAATTTTTCCT